ACGATGACAAGGGTGAGCTTTGGTGGAGGTGCTGGAGGAAGGAGATGAACATGGGATTTTTTTTCTTTTTTTTCTTTTATTCTTTTGTTAAGATGATTGCAGAGAAGAAAACGAAATTACTTGCTAGGGTTTCACACCTCAATTTTAGCAAAATAAATTTCATTCATTCTTCAATATTCTCCCATTTCTGATTACAAGAGTTCTTAAGTAAAAATTACAGATTTGGAATATCTCTAAATCCCTCAAATCTCTCTCATAATCAATTACAATCAATCAGCTGATTAACTACCAAATAAAATCAAAATTCAAAAATTCAAAATTCAAAATTTAAAATTCAAACTAATTATTACAACTGAAATCAAAACCATAATGCTGCAACATGGCGCCTCCTGCGCTGATAAACTCGGCGAAAATCTCATGTACGCATCCGGATGTCCCCATCAATCTGCCTTCTGGGTTGGAAGATATGATTGTTTCTTTGCGGAAGTTAATAATACGTATAAATTTGTATTTAGCTCGTGATTGTCCAAATCCTCCATGAAATTGTCTGTTAAGCGTCCTGCATCAGAATGATAGCATCTGAATCTGAGGCAAATTGTTTCCTTTTGATGGTCTTGATATCATATTCTCCTTCTTATCGTGAAATCAACTTGTTTCCGTAAGAAATAAGCGATAGTCAAATATGATGGTAGTATATAATAGAGTCACATTGTACTTCTCAAGTGTAAATTTAGTTAGTTTATCATGTTTATAAGGGCAAAGCAGCCATTATTTGGTGCTTTAATATTTCACTACACTTACCGATTATAACTTTAAGTTCTTAAGCCAATAATATGCTGCAGGAAGACAATTATTTGAGGAGCTAGACAGAAATAAAGATGGGCAGGTAACCCTTGAAGATCTCGAAATAGCTATGAGCAAAAGAAGACTACCAAAGAGGTATGCTCGGGAACTTTTGCGCTGCACCAGAAGACACTTATTTTCAAAATCAATCAGCTGGAAAGAATTCCTCTCTTTGATGGAGCAGAAAGAGCTAGCTATTCTTCGAGCTTATAGTACTCTGTCGTTCGGCGATTCTTTGACACCTCAAGGAAATCAAATTGCAGGATCACTTAGAATTGCAGGTGCTCCTGAAAATGAAGATAATACTGTTTCTTTGATGCACTATCTGAATGTGGATAATGGAGAATCTATTTCCTATAGTCAGTTTAGAAATTTCATGTTGCTTCTTCCTTCAGAACAACTTGAAGGGGATCGCTGGTGTGTGTAAGCTTCTTAAATGGAATGTTTTCCTTGTGAACTTTTAATAATAATATAAAATAAACTACTTTATTATGATGCAAGAATTCTAGTGAAGTCATGTAGACAAAACATGAGACTCCCTTCTTCTGAACTGCTAATGTAGAATAACAGAGTAGTGAGGAAAGTGAAACCTAAGTATTTGATAGAAAGATAAATTGCTATTATTAATTAGATCATAAAGATTATACTAGATGAAAACCTTTCCAGGCTAGAAAGCCATTAGAGGAATTTGACGGCATACAAGTTCAATGAAGCATAGATGACAACTTATTTTGTAGAATCTAGATATCAAGGAGTCAGGCAAACATCACCTATTTCTCTGTAGTTGTCCTTTATGCTTTCTCTTATCCATAGCTTCCTCTTTACTTCTCACCCGTGCTGATTGAATACAAAACAAAGGCAAGATCTTTGGACTTTCGTATTTTTTCCAGTTGAAAATCTAATAGATCATAAATTGTGGGGTGAAATATGATCATATAGTGGATTCATAAGTCATAACATCTAAACATGTAGCATGAGGATCATTATAAACAAATAAATATGAACTGCGTCCTTAATGATTTTACCACTTTATCAGAGAAATAGGTTCAATATAGTTGTCCTACCTTTGACTGTTATTGTTTAACATTACAGGAACAAGTGTCATGATGGTGGCAATGCAGTGGAGCCACTTGCTCAAAGTGTACTGAAATCTGCATTAGCAGGAGGGATTGCTTGTTCATTTTCTGCTTTTGTGATGCATCCTGTAGATACAGTCAAGGTAACCTCCTTCTCTCTCCCTCCCTCCCTTCCGCCCATAAATCGAATCTTGCAACAAAAATGATAAAAGGAGGCAATAAAATTTACATAGGGATGTAATGTCACCTTTTTTTTAAACCTTTGAGGAATGATGTAATGTCACTTGAAACATTATCCCTAGAAGAAGGGTAAAGGCTGTTTTGAAAAGAAAGTTGGCGGAATGACGAAATTTGGAAGGCAATTCAAGCAAATGATGCATCTTATAAAACTTGGTGTATGTGCACAATAATGAAAATTATAAGATAAAAATAGCACAATGGTAGTGAGTAAAGCAGTTTGGTTAAATCCAAGGCATATGGTAGCCTAATAGCTAAGTAGTAATATTTTTCAAAGGCTAAGGAATGCCTCATGAATGAAGGAGAAGCACTCAGTAGCTACAAGAATAAAGGTTATGTGCAAATTTGATATATAGCTGTTTGCAACTTTGCAGGTTATATAGCTTGTGCTACCTATAGGATCCTTCACATAATAGAGCTTAACTGCTAGAATCAGGCATGATATACTGCAGTTGTGAATCTCCTGATTCTCTTATCTAGTGAACTTTTGTCCAGATCCATTATTTATTCTGTTTCCTCTCGGCGCATTCTTCATATATCCTACTGCATGATTAGATTATTAACAAACAAAATAGGCATTCCCACCCCATTGTTTATTAAGTGATATATGTATTGATATATGTATTCTGTTCCAAGTAAATAAGTGCAATATATTTGTATTCTTTAAAGCCAATCTCAAGGCCTCTTATAGTTTCTCTTGAATATATGATTCGGTTGGAGCATTAGTAATGGTCTTGACGTTTCTCAGACTTGTGTACAAGCATCAACACTGTCACTTCCTGAACTTTTTTTGAAACTGCCGGAGTTTGGATTTCAGGGGTTGTACAAAGGTTCTATCCCTGCAGTTATTGGGCAGTTTACTAGGTTAGTATTTCTTTCAGAAGCTCAATTTTAGGCATGGTGGAGAACTTAATGAGCCCTATTTTGCTTTCATTGGCAGCCATGGATTGCGAACTGGTCTCGGTGAAGTCAGCAAGTCTATTTTGACAAAGGCTATTCCCGGACTTCCAGATATTCAGGTAAAGCGGTATCTCTGTGGAGGATTAGATACTCGTTTTATAATGGTTATATCAGATTGTGCCCCACACTTACTTATAAATCACTTTGCTTAGTTTCGTTAATTTGATTAATGTCATTGTATTATATTGTAATTAGTGATAGTTTCATTGTGCAACCTGTCAGCTAAGTTCGTAAGACCACTAGGTTGACACCTTTATGTTGCCTGCAACTGGAGAAGCATGTATCTTGACCCTGTGTACAATGGCCTGTTCTCATTTTACCCTGATTGTTTTAGACAAACTTTGTGTTGATTTGTGCCTAGTGTACAGGTTAATCTTGAAAAGGCACGGACAAAGACACCCCACAAATTATCATTCATTTCTGGGCAATTTATAGAACCTAGTTATTTTTGGTAAGTCATATATGTTGCTTGTTAAGAAACGTTTTAGAATACACACGAAGAGAAAATATAAGCAAAAAATTCATTGTGATTTGTTTCAAAAACATAATTTGTGTGTTTGGAAAACGGACGCTGTAACTTGTATGCGAAAATGTCAATGGTAATAGGAAATGAGCAATCAGACATATCGCTTTTACCAGTATAAGCAAGAATATAGTAAAACTTTTGGGCCTCAGAAACTGTCTCGTAGTTTTCCCAATATCTAATAGGGTACAAAAAGTTAACTTTTCTTCCAATCAACCACCTGTTAAAATTTTCCTAAAATTCCAACAATAACCTCACTTAATCTCACGTGTAAAGCATGTGACTCTCTTGTTGATGCTCTGCAAGCTTTCCATGTGAGATTAAGTGAGGGTATTGTTGAAATTTCATGAAACTTTTAGCAGCAAAATGGGATGTGGTGGTTGATTGAAGAAAAACTAACTTTGTACTTTGTAGGTGGTTTAGATATAAATTAGAAATATAATGTGGTTTACGTAAATTAACCCTAAATATAAGGCGGTTTCCAAGAAAAACCCCTATCTAATATATTACCCTCAACTTTGTCTTATTGATGTTTCTCTTCACTTTCCCCTGGTATCCAACATATTCTTTCATTATTGGACCTGATTGAGTTGGTCTCTTGATTTAAGAGTATCAGAAGATTATGTTAAGGGACGCACTCCATGATATAGATTCTACTTTTTGCAGGTGCAATCTTTGGCATCCTTTAGTAGCACGGTTCTTGGAACTACATACAGAGTTCCATTTGAGGTTCTGAAGCAACGGCTGCAAGCAGGCATGTTTGATAACGTTGGAGAGGCTGCCATTGTTACTTTGCATCAGGATGGTATGAAAGGTTTCTTTCGTGGAACTGGTGCTACACTTTGTAGGGAACTGCCTTTCTATGTTCTTGGTGCAGGTCTCTATGAAGAAGCAAAAAAGGTATTTTTTTTCCCTTCTTTTTTGCTCCTTTCGTAATTTTATATGGCATGCTTGAACTTGGTATAAGCACGAATATAGGTTATAATACAATTTTACATCTTTCATGGTTACTAAAGGTAAGAAAGTTTTTCATCTTCCGTTCATTGGACTACTTAAGCTTTCTTAGTATTTATAAAGTATGCAGAGTTAGTTAGCTTCTGAATGTCAATAGGACTGTTTAGGTCCTATGTCTCCTGGTTCTCCTTTTCCTATTACCGGTTTTCTTTTTCCTAAACAGCTTTAACTTCATAGAACTAGATTTTCATCATTTCCAAAGCCTTTGCCATATAAATTGTGTTGCACCATTTAACACACAAGGCTCGACAACCCTTTACGAAAAATTTATGGTCGATTATCTAGCATGATGTCAGCCTCTGAAATGGCTAATATTTCTTGATTTGGGCATTTACTGCAACACAATAGAGTAATTCGCCACAAATTGTAGATAATACCTTCTATTCTTATCTCGGATCTATGTGATTCTAACTAAATAGATATAGTAAATGTTCCTTCCCCTTCTTTTATTAGAACTCTAACCCCTGTCCTAATCATAAAAGTAACAAGTTTTCATTCTTTTGTTTCCTCATGTTAGCAGGCTGTAATAAATATTTCTCCACCTTAGTTTATGTTCTTGGGATCTAGATGCAAGTTTTGTATGCGTGTGTGTGTTTGGGGCAGTGGTGGT